GAAGAAAAAAAAAAAAGCAACGGATAGATTTGCGAACGCACAGCGGAAGAAATTAAGAGGAAATTAAGCAGGAAGCTTACCAGCCGCCAGCTTAAGTTGAAGCAACTGGAAGCTAATAAGCAGAAGATGCAGAGGCTGAAGCACTTGCTGACCAAAGACATAGAATAGGTCTTAGTATAGGTCTAAATGTGATAGACTGATGTAATATCTTTCAAAAATTTATAAAAGATATTCAGTTGAAATCTTCAAATCTATACTTGATTTTAGATATGTTTCATCAACATCATAAAAATGGGAAAATTGTTAGGTTTGATTGTACTTAGACTTAGATTTTGACGATGTCTTTAGAAGTTCTTATTAGGATTGAAGATACCCCAATTTTCTAACCTATTGAAGAACCTAGTCGTTTCTTTGTTTTAGCTGAAGAACTGAAGAAACCAATAACAAATCTTTACCTAAGTTAAACCAGCGAAAGGATAAAAGGCAAACCAGTTGAAGGATGAGAGACAGACTAGCTGAAAGTGAAGAGGAAAACCAGTAGAAGTAAAGACAAGAAGAGAAGTGAAGATATTCCAGCTTAAGTGCAGAAGTAGAGCGACCAGTAGAGAAGTCTAAAGTCATGCATGTTGAAGTCTTCAAGATCTAGCAGTAGATTAGTGTGGCATTAGATAAGAGTAGTGCATCAAAAATAAGGCAGCTGAGTCAACTAGCCTTGCCGCAACAAATCAATTGAAGGCTACAAGCAAACAACTGGCCAGAAGAAATAGGAAGCCTTCTTCATCCAAGTTCTAAACACAATTCTAAATGGAGCATCTTGATGACACCCGGACATCACACAATAAAGGGTGAAGTAAAGACAAAAATGCAGCTCCTTTTTTAATCAATGTTGCATTCGAGGAAAAGGACAAGGTTGTTAAACAAAAAGACAATGAAGTACAGATGCACAATCATGAACTTTTTGGTAGCATGGACACATGTGAAATTGGGGTGCAACGGGTAGATTCTAATCAAGGTTCTCTTACGAATCTACCCCTACCACTATCCAATGAATAGATCCTAAGCTCAAAAAAAATAACGATGGTGTGGAAGTGGTGGTGAAAAAGAGGGACACTATTAAAGATTTACAACATTAAAACAAAAATATCAATAAATGTGTCATTTAAAATATCTTAATTAGAACCTGTTGTTAATGATATATTTTTTATATATTAATTTTTTTGTTAGACCACGAGGTGTCCTAAATAGGTCTAACTGTAGAAGCACCTTTAAGCCCGTACCATACTCAGACTAATCATTGTTCGCAACGGGCCGACCCAATTAATGGGCAAAGTGTTGGCCAAATTAGTTTTTCCATACATGAGGGGTTCGAACTGTCATATTATATCGTGCGCCGCGGTGCATAATCGATTATGCATCGCGCATCAAAACGATGTCATTTTGTTTAATGAAAAGAAACGGCATCTGTTTCGCGTCGTTCCGCACCCTTCCGCAAAAAGAAACTCTATTATTCAGTTTCATTTTGTATACACTGCAGTTTCGGTTCAACACAACTACAGTTTCATTTCAATATAACTTCAGTTTCATTCGATATTTAATTTATAGACTCAAATATGTGAAAATATTATTTAATTTTATTTTATATACACTATAGTGTTAATAAAACACAACTACATGATCATTTTGATATAATTACAGCTTCATTGTACAATATACACTTTAATATATGAAATGTTATTCGGTTTCATTTTATATACACTGCAATTTCATTTCACCACAACTACAGTGTCATTTTGATATAACTGCAGTTTCATTTGATAATATAAAAATAATACGTGAGGCAGTGTCGATTTAGATACACTTTAGTGTCAGTTGGTAATTAACATACAAAAAAAAAAATGCGCGCTCCGTTAACACTAATGGCGCGCCATTTCTTTACTTAAAGAAACGGTGCCGTTTTGACCGCGGTGCACGTGCACCGCAGTCCACGATATAACGACCGGTTCGAACTCCCGACATCTTTTAAGGAATGAGAGTGCATAGACACTCACGCCAACCAAAATGGTTGTATTAATTTTATTTGTATACAAAAAAAATACTAAATTTATGTTTTAAAAAATAATTTAATTTAGTGTACCTTAAAAGTAGACCATTTTCCATAGTATAATAATTCAGTATTTTGGCAATCATTAATATTAATTTCTTTATTTTTTGAGTCATAGTTATGTCCACTTGACCACAAGGTCTTTGACATATTTAAATTAGAACTTATCTCATTACACAATTTATTGAGATCCAAGGAGATTAATTATTTAACACGGTCTCAGTCTCTCAGATATAGTTATATTAACGGCCTGTTTGGTTCACGGAATAGGCCGGGAATGTCATAGCATTTCCAGTAATAGGCCTATTCCTTTGTTTGGTAACCATGTCTAGGCAAATTATGTTGTGCATCCGTATGCACCATGCATGGTGCATACGGATGCAAAAACGACGTCGTTTTAATAAAACGCGCGTCTCCCCTTAAAATAAAAAATCAGGTTCGATTCCCAGCAACAACATATGAACTAAAATTCCATAATCGATGAACTATAATTTCATAATCGATGAACTATAATTCCATAATCTAATCTATGAACTAAAAATTCCAGAATGAATGAACTAAAATTCCATAATCTATGAACTAAAATTTCAGAATCGATGAACTACAATTCCATAATCGATGAACTATAATTCCATAATCAATGAACTATAATTCCATAATCTATGAACTAAAATTCCAGAATGAATGAACAATATAATGTTGTTGCTGGGAATCGAACCTGAATTTTTTTTAAAGGGGAGACGCGCGTTTTTTAATAAAACGACGCCGTTTTGGCATCCGTATGCACCATGCATGGTGCATACGGATGCACAGCATAACTATTGCCATGTCTATTACCAGGCTTAATATTCCTAGTAATAGCCTATTACCTCAAATAAGGTAATAGCTATTACCAGGGTCCCTGTAAATATATTATTTGCAGACAAAAATTTATTCATAAGTCTAAGAATAGACACGATTTTACAACTCTTCATATTCATTACCTACTTATAAATAATGCATTATTCCAAAAATTAATGACACTAAATTGGCATATCTATAGTTGTGTACAAAAAAAGAATATTTTGTATATCTAACATTACCTGGCTAATTTCACCCAATTAAGTATAGGAGTGAATGAATGTCATCCTTAATTATGCATCGCAAAAAGTAACTCTGTTATTCAGTTTCATTTTGTATACACTGCAGTTTTAGTTCAACACAATTACAGTTTCATTTCAATATAACTTCAGTTTCATTCGATATTTAATTTATAGACTCAAATATGTGAAAATATTATTTAATGTTATTTTATATACACTATAGTTTTAATAAAACACAACTACATGATCATTTTGATATAATTACAGCTTCATTTTACAATATACACTTTAATATATGAAATGTTATTCAGTTTCATTTTATATACACTGCAGTTTCATTTCACCACAACTACAATGTTATTTTGATATAACTGCAGTTTCATTTAATAATATAAAAATAATACGTGAGGCAGTGTCGATTTAGATACACTGTAGTGTCAGTTGGTAATTAACATACAAAAAAAATGCGCGCTCCGTTAACACTAACGGCACGCTATTTCTTTACTTAAAGAAACGGTGCCGTTTTTACGTGCACCGCGGTCCACGATATAACGACCGGTTTGAACTTCCGACATCTTTTAAGGAATGAGCTGAGAGTGCACAGTTACTCACGCCAACCAAAATGGTTGTATTAATTTTATTTGTATACAAAAAAAAAATACTAAATTTATGTTTTAAAAAATAATTTAATTTAGTGTACCTTAAAAGTAGACCATTTTTCATAGTATAATAATTCAGTATTTTGGCAATCATTAATATTAATTTCTGTATTTTTTGAGTCATAGTTATGTCCCCTTGACCACAAGGTCTTTGGCATATTTAAATTAGAACTTATCTCATTACACAATTTATTGAGATCCAAGGAGATTAATTATTTAACACGGTCTCAGATATAGTTATATTAAATATATTATTTACAGACAAAAATTTTATTCATAAGTCTAAGAATAGACATGATTTTACAACTCTTCATATTTATTACCTACTTATAAATAATGCATTATTCCAAAAATTAATGACACTACATTGGCATATCTATAGTTGTGTACCAAAAAAAAAAAAAAGAATATTTTGTATATCTAACATTACCTAGCTAATTTCACCCAATTAAGTATAGGAGTGAATGAATGTCATCCTTAATATGCATCAAAATAACGATTTGATGAGAACTTTAAATGATAGAATCTGTTAAATGATCTCACTTGTATTTGATATATTTTATGTTCCCATGCAGATATACTTTTATATTTTACACATGGCTGATAAACACATACAGAAACAAATTTTAAAATACAAGTAACTGTTAATTAAAAGGATAGAAATGATAAAATAGTTAAAGGGTGATATTAACTCGAGAAAATTTCAATTTTGGTCCAGTGACTATTGGAGTTGTGTTAATTGCAACACTTGACTTTAAAAAATGTTAATTTAGTACCTTGACTATACAATTTCTATCAATTTTGGTCACGTCGGTCAAATCGCCGGCCAAATCTCACCGAAAAATTTAAATAGGTCAAATCATTAGGATATTTTAGTCATTTTACAATCTTTTGTTTCTTCTCCGATCAGCTTCTCCCCATTTCCGGCTTCTCCGATGAGTTTTCTTGTTTTCTTTCCCTATTACTTCTCTCATCTTCTACCTTGCCAAAAGTGTAAACATTAGAAAGGGTTTTTGGTGATGGTCAAGTTAGGGCTGTAGAGTGGCTTCCCTTTTATCTCTAGTGTTTGATTTAATTTGATTTTAATTATATAGGTTAGTCAGGTATCCACGTTCTCCTGGGGACTACCAACTCTTCTTCAATGCCATTTCTCTTTTCTTCTGCAATTTCTCTCGCCGCCTCCTTTCCCCACTATCTCTCCATTCTCCATTGGAAACAACTCTTCTTGTTCTACTAGCTCCCACGCTTATATGAATCAAGAAAACAAAGAAAATACAACAGAGGGCGTGTTGAGTTTATTGGTTTCTGGGGTTTGTGTAAAAGCTTCGTTCTATCATTTTACCTCTTTGTTTTTTTGTTTTGTAGTGTGGAGAAAGGTAGAAGATGAGAGAAGTAATAGGGGAAGAAAATAAGAAAGCTCATCGGAGAAGCCGGAAATTGGGAGAAATTGATCGGAGAAGAAACAAAAGATTGTAAAATGACTAAAATACCCTAATGATTTGACCTATTTAAATTTTTCGGTGAGATTTGGCCGGCAATTTGACCGGCGTGACCAAAATTGATAAAAGTTGCATAGTCAAAGTACTAAATTAACATTTTTTAAAGTTAAGTGTTGCAATTAACACAACTCCAATAATCAATAGACCAAAATTGAAATTTTCTCTATTAACTCACTCGTATAATTTATGACTAATTTGATCATATATACATATTTTATATATGAACAAAAAAAAAACGATTAACTCAATAATTCATACATACTCCAGCTGTCGATAAAAAAAATTTGCTTACTGTATTGAGATATCCAATCCAATATAATAAATAATAATAATTCCTTCCCTCCAATTTCAGTGTCCAAAATATCTTTAAATAGGATTTTGAAATACTAAAAATAAAAATATATTTTATTCTTAAATTTACAATGCATTTAATGCAAACAAAAAATAAAATATATCATCACCATTTAATCAATATATTAAATATATTTCTTAAATGGAGTTATTATCAAAATGATATCTTGACTATATCATGATTTTCAAATTAATCTTCTACTGTCAATTTATCCAAAATGGTTACTAAAGTGTACAAAATTTACTCAATTTAGTCCTTGTTTTCTTACACCGAAAGACTAAGATCAGTAAATTATGGTCTTGTTCGGTAAATGGCTATTAGGTGATAGTTGATTGTGTTAATTAGAGAGTATAACTAGTTGATACCATTAGCTGATTACATAAAGGTGTTTGGTAAATTAGTTGTTAGCTGATAGCTATTTGGTATAATTTCTTTTATCAAAAAAACTAATTGAAAAAGTTGTTTTGAGTTGTTTTTTTAATTTTAGCATTTTGAAGTTACAAAAAGCTAATTAATCAAACACTTATGTTGATTTTTTTAACCAAGTCAAACAATTAATAGTGATCAAATAATCCAAAATTAACTGATAGACTAACATTTTACCAAACAGGACCTTATTATAATTGAATTATTATTTTTATATGACGTTTGATTGATTATCCATGACCATGTTTTAATTAATTAACTATTTATTTATTTTGATTATAATCTCTAGCTATTTTCCCAAATCAATATATAGATTTTTTCACTTAAACCAATTATAATTTCAAGTATTTGATTTCAATTAAGATTCCGATTTTAATGTTAGGACTGTACTAAACCCCACCTTAGTAAATTTATATTTTATAGTACATATCACCAATTTAAAAATTATGATATAATCAAAAGATTATTTTAGATATTATCTCTATAAATATATTTTGAACTGTACCTGGACTACATTTTCTATATAGCGTTTTGAAGCGTAATAAAGAAATGGCGCCGCGGTGGAACGATGGCATCGTCCGTGTCCTGCTAGTCGACCATGAGAACAAGTGTGGTGTTAATCACGATTTTTCAATCATTCATGAAAACCATCTATGTGCTTGCTTGATAGCCTTAATGCTAAAGCAATGGTCATTTCAAGGTACATATACATATAAACTATTTCTCTTTTTCGTTGCCCCAATGTATATATGTGAGTGTATATATGCATCCATATAGAGAAAATTTCAATTTTGGTCACATAACTATAGGGGCATTATTAATTTCAACACTTAACTTTTAAAAGTGTCAATTTAGTATTTTGACTATGTAATTTTTGTCACTCCGACCAAATTAACGGTCAAATTTGGCCGGAAAAATTTAATCCAACATTTAGTCTAGAAAGGATCAAAAGATGATTTTGCCCCTCGGATTATAGACTAAATGTTTGATTAAATTTTTTCGGCCAAATTTGACCGTCAATTCGGTCGGAGTGACCAAAATTGACAAAAATTACATTGTCAAGGTACTAAATTGACAATTTTGAAAGTCAGGTGTTGAAATTAACAATGCCCATATAGTCATGTGACTAAAATTGAAATTTTTTCCATACATGTTGAAGGTTGATTCGACCACTCAAAGATGATCTGATCTGGTAGAAATTAATTTTTATAGAGCAGTGCTTTACTCCAAATAAAAGGAATGTTTAATTAAAGAATCAATACCCTTAAATTTTTTTTTATGATATCATCTTATATATATAGTTTCTGTGATATTTTTAATTTTGTTTAACACAACCAATATATGAATAACAATTTTTCTGAGTCCTGCTGGCCAGGCAAAATTTCCAATTCCTATCCTCGTCTCGCACAGACAAAGACAGGGATTGATAGTTGTATTCATATGAAGAAGATACCACTTCCTATCTTTTTCCCGACAGATAAAAGGATTAGGATAATGCAGTAATAAAGTCAATAAATGTATGTCGCGGGGAAAATTCTTGTATTGATAATCATTTATAGGAGAATTACAAGAAAAATGTAATAATTGGACAAGATGTAAGTCTCCTAAACAAGACAAGAGTGGACTATTTTATACAAGTTAGCCCCCCAACTGCCCCATGAGAATAGAGTGGGCGGTTGGATCACGGTTTGACTTTGTCCGCGTGCACACGCCCGAGGTCCGGAACACCTCCACCGAAGCCTCCATTTGCTACAAGCCCCCTGGTCGTGGCCGCCCTTAGCTGAGGCCGACACCGGGGTCGACCTCCATCAAGGTCGACCCCCAGCCGTGGTTGACCTAGGCTGAGGTCGAGGTCAACCCCCATCGGGGTAGACCTCGACCTTAGCCGGGGTCGACCTTAATCGGGGTCGACCACGGCCGAGGTCGACCTTAGCCGGGGTCGACCACGGCCGAGGTCGACCTTAGCCGGGGTCGACCTAGGCGCCTCATATCGCGTCTTCCCTTCTCCGGGTCAGTTTTCCCCGAGCCCGTTTTTAATATATCAATCACTATATTTATATATATAAAGGGAATAGTTCATGTGCGGGTATAGCTTTTAGTGCGGTTATACGGTTGACGCACCTTAAGTACACAGACCACGCTCTTTAAGCACACAAACAAATCACCTTAAGAACATAAATCAAGCGCACATAAAGCTTTACGCCGACGCACCTTAAGTACACAAACTACGCGTATTTCTTTTAGATATCAATTTTACTAGTTTGACTAGAAAATTAAATTTCTTTTCATCCTCCTTATGCCGAATTTTAGGGACATGCTAGGGTACGGTGTTGGAGATGGAGTGGGGGAGTACATTCTCCATCCCACTCCATTGCTATCCCCATATATATATATATATATATATATATATATATGCATTCTTTAATTTTGTTGAGGAGTTTCTTAATTATTAATTATTATATTTTAGAGTTAATTCAATTTTGGTTCTAAATTTATAAATGTTACTTTACTTTTAGTTATTATTTTTTAGAAGATTTTTTGGTCCTAGTATTATTGTGGCATGACTATTTTTTTGTTCTCCATCAATAAATTTGTTGAAATGTGTTAAATACAATGACATTTTATTTTATTTTTATACAAAGTAGGTTGACAGGTATAATTTTATTTTTTATTTTTATTAAAAATTCATAATTAAACATCTAAATGTCCTTGCACTTCATGAAATTTAGATGGAGAACCAAAGAAGATCATGCCACATTCATAGACTAAAAAATGATGTTCTGAACAAAAAGAAAATTAATAAATTGTGAGCTATAATCTAGTACCTAAAATGAAATTCACTATTTTTTAATGTCACTTAATTCTAATACTTTCCATACAATGAGTTGTGGTAGTTACCATGGTGGAGGGTCCCACCGCTGGATTGTCAAGGTTATTAGGTGACAATGAGAAATTCGATGTGGTGATGGAAAACATGAACTCATCTGATAAATCCAGAGCCAGTCCTGTGGTTCTCAACTATGCTGTGTACAAGGGTTTGATAGCAGTATGTAAGTACCATTTAATTTATTGCAAAGAAAAATATATATAATTTTTAAATTTTTTCTGTAGAAATGAAAAATTATTAAAAAACTTCCTAATAATTAAACTGTTACTATTTGAACATTAATGGCGGCAGTGGTATCAGAAGACGATACCGGCTTTGATGAAAGAACAATGTACTTCCTTCATAAGCCCGTTTCTGAAATAACGTTGAAATGCATGTGGGAATATGTATCATTGGAGATGTCTGGAGCAAATCTCACGAAGATATCGGAACCCATCGCTACTGACCATGAATCGTCACAAAAAACGTTTTGGAGAGAAAACGTTTTGCTTTTGGAGAACGCAAAAGAAAATGTTGAGAATGAAGTGGTGAAAGCGGCCGAGGAAATCGTCCAAGTAGGATGTGACGATGATCAAGAGAAGGCTGAGAATCGTCGCAAAAAACGTCATAGAAGAAGTACTGAGCCTCCCTTGGTGTGGACTCGTGAACTGCATCAAAATTTCTTGAATGCTATCCAACAGCTTGATCATGGGAGTACGTAATGTCTTTTATTTTACTTTAATTAATAAATTCTTTCCTTTTATTTGTTCATTAATATAATTAAGGGAAAATGACACTTTTTCCCCCTGAGTTATATACTTATAGCACTTTTCCCCCCTCAATTATTCAAGTGGCTGTTTTTCCCCCTAAAATGTTAAATGGACATATTTACCCTTAAAATAAATATTTTATTTATTTTTCTTCTCTAATAAATTATGACCATAATTTGGGTCAAACCAAATAAACACTATAGTAACCAAACTGAAATATTCCAATTACAATTTAGAATCGAAACTCGATATTTAGAGTTTATTAAAATCCCGGAACGGATGGTTCATGTTCTGAACTGAAAAAATAAAATACATTTATTGTTGAATTTAGACTATTTTTAAAATAAAAATAAAATTTTAAAATAAAAACGGTTCAAAATCGCGAATCGGGTCCGGAACCGCCGGTTCACGGTTCAGGATCCAATTTTTTTGATTCATAATTTTAATAAATTGAAATCCAAATATTGGGTTCTAGATCTGAATCATAACCGGAAAGTTTTAATTCGATTGCTATACTGTCCGATTCAGTTCGAACCGAATCGTGGTCATCCCTACATATACGCAATAATTTGTTGGAGATGTAAAATAAATAAAATATTTATTTTAAGGGTATAAATGTCAATTTAATATATTAGGGGGAAAAACCACCACTTTTAGAATAATTAAAGGGGCTAATGTGCTTACCTAAATAATTGAGGGGGAAAAAGTGCTATAAGTATATAACTCAGGGGGAAAAAGTGCCATTTTCCCTATAATTAATTACTAATTTTGCACTTTTCTCTCTGATCTCTTGGGTGGTAGGATGCATTCCAACAGAGATTCTTAGGCTTATGAACGTGCCTGGCCTCACGAGATTTCAAGTCGCAAGCCATCTTCAGGTGAACCAACTTTATTCCTTTTTAAATAGATTTTGTGCTTGTTATGTACTACTGTACCCATGCAATGTTACTTTATATATATAAAACTAGCCCATCATTATTAAATAATATTAATGTTATATGTTGTGAGTTAAATAAAGTAGACAGTTTTGTTTTCTCTAAGATTTCTTTCTCTGTTTTCCTCCAGAAATATCGTTCCAACCAGTGGAGGCCTCCTGGTGAACGGAGAATTGGCCGCCATCCACAACCTTGGTCCCAGCAACAACCACCAAATTAAAACCTCTTTTTGGTGGGAGGGGTTTGAATAGACTTTCTTTCAGTTTTTGAAATATTTTTCAAAAGCTCTAAGTGAGCTTGAATTTAGAAATCAGAGTTTTGAAAACAGTTTGAAAGTGAGTTTTCTAGCAACAAAAGTCTTTTGCTTGCTTTAAAATGCGTAGCTATGTTTTGAA